ACTCTGAGCGAGACCTCGCAAGGCCTGACGGGAAGTCCCGCAAGGCCACGGCGTAAAGAGCCGCCGACGCTTTTCATTCTGGCCCGATGCCGCCGCCTCTTTGTCCTCGCCGCCTTTCAAGGCCGGTTGCACTTTTCTCTCGCGAGTCCTTTTGACGTCAAAAGCGGGCAGGCTGAACTTTGAACCCCCGCCGCGCAGCGCCGATGCTCTTGAGACCCAACAGATGCTCGCGAGGCAGGCGGCAAGTGATGGCATAAGCACTTATCTTAAAAAAAAAAAAAAAAAAAAAAATGCACTTCCCGGAAAAGATGACAGCGAATCAATCAGAAACGACCGTTTTTTTAGGAGTTGGGTCTGTTTTAAATTAGCCTTTGCAATTTACTCGCATTGCACCCCCTTGGAAAATTTGAGAAGAAAAAAAATAACCATCCCCGCGCCACTGGTTGCACCAAACCTCATGACATTTGGGTGGGCTTGTCCGTCATAACGGGACACACCAAAAAGTGTGGGCGGGAGGTCCGCCATTTTGGGGGGCTCCCAATGTGAGTTTGGCTCATTCGCATGACGTGCGCATGACGGGAGGACACACCCCAAAAAAGCCTCAGAGTGTCAAAACTTGGACGAGAAATTGCACATTTTGGTTTGACGCTCCATCGTCAAACCAAAATCGGGAAAAAAAAAATTCTAATCTGCCCCCTCACACCAGTTCCACCAAGCGACAAGAGTCGGGTGGAAAGAAAAATCTCCCCCTGCCCCAAATTGAAGACAAAGTCTTAGTGATGAAACAACACATTGGCTTAACTTGGAAGGTGTCCAAAAATTCAAGAACAAACGCTTCACTCGTGGCCCCGAAATTGGGTGCGCTTGTCCCCTGTCAGCGCCCGCACCCCCAAAAAAGCGGCAAGGGCATGGAAGAGAGAGTCTGGCATTGGGTTGTGACCCGTTGGCGCCGCCGTGCGCGTGTCCCGGCAGGCCTTCTCGCTGTGGCCCGAGCTGATGCGCCAGCACGCCGAGAGCTTCTTGTCACTGTACCGCGCGGACATGGACTCGTCTCTGCGGGCGCAGCCCGTCGATTCGTGGAGCAGCTTTCCGCTCTTCCAACTCCTCAACGGCTTTCTCAGCGCCGATCGTGAGTCCCGCCGTCACACCTCGGATGCCTTTTCCGACCAGTGTTTCTCCATATTTGACTTTTTATTTGCCCCTTTTCTCCCCCTCTCGGTGTCTGCTTGTGTTTTCTGGGCGGCTTTTCTTTGGGTTTTTTTTTTTTTTTTTTTTTCTCAATATAGTTTGGACTTCCCTTTCCCTTCTGTTTTTTTTTTTTGTTTTTTTTTTTTT